CAACAGAAGGTTTTACTGGTGCCGGAATTCGACCGTGTAACACCTTGGTGTACGCAAGCGGCCGCAAGCGAGCGGGCATCAACCGTCGAACTTTTCAAGCTCGAGACTTTCAAACTCAAACTTTCGAGCTGGACTTGCTGCTTCGAGCTCAAGCTTCAAGCTCTAGCCGCGGCCGAGTTCGATCGGCTCTGAAATCTTGAAAGCTCGAAAGTATAAAGCGCTAGAAGGACTCAAAGGTTCGAAAGTTTGGAACTTGCAAGCCTGAACTTCTTGCAAGATTGAAGCTTCGACAGTTCGAAGTTTCTCGAAAGTTCAAAAGGTTTGCTTCAAATTCCGTCCCCGCATTTGGCGATGGCTTTTGAGCTCATATCTTCAACCCAACCCCTCGTCAGACCCCACATCTTGCCAGGCGGTTGATTGCACGTCTCACATTCGCCCCTCGTTAGACGATGTCGCTTGATCTCATATCTTGAGGTGAGCACGATGTCGTATCCTAATCCAGTCCCCCCTACTCGGCGATGGCGGTTGATCCCAAATATTCCCAATCGGCGATGGAGGTTTGTTCCACATTTTTTATGACCCGCTTCCTCAGCAGGCGATGGTGCTTGGTTTCACCACCCCCTTGTGGCTTGAAATGGGGGGAGGGGGTGAGGCTCTGAAATATTTCAGGGCAGGTTGGGTCGAGGTGGGGGTTAAAACCTGGGGGGTGGGGGTCGGGCTTGCAATTTCAGGGCTTTCCTGGGATATCGAGTCATTCTCCATTTCAAGAGAGTTGCCGCCCGCTTCCGCAGGACACCGGCTTAGAGACGTGCCTATTCATGTTTTGGCCTCCTTGGTATGGGTGCCAGTATATTTCTGATAGAAATCTACGATTTCCCCACCATGCGGGGCTCCGGTGACCTTCGTTCTCAGGCTGCTACTATATTTCCATTAGAAATCTACTAAATTCCTACTATGCGGGGCTATGGTGGCTTCCTTTATTATAGGCCGCCACTATATTTCTGTTAGAAATCTACTATTTCCTACTATGCAGGGTTACGTGTGCTCCTGTCACAACCCTTTCCCCCAGCAGCTTCCTGCAACAACCCTTTCCCCCGCCCACATAAAGAAGCGGTTGCGAGTGCCGAGATTGATCACTGCATGCACAGATCTGCGGAGCCCAGCCTATCTACCTCCCCCTCCGCGCACCCCGGTTGAAATTTCACGGAACTTAACCCCCCCCACCCCCCCAGCCAGGCTCTATTCTGTTTCATGCGGGTGGCTGAAACGGATTCAGCCTTATAAGGGGGAGGGGGGGGCCTCACCCCGCCCCCTCGACAAGGGAGTACTGATGATTTCATGTCTCAAATCCGCCTTGTCATTAGGCGAGCTCCGTTGATCCCATATTTCAATTTTGGTCCGAGTCCCTCATAAGACTAGCGCGCTTGATCTCATATCGCACCATCAGGCGGGTGCAGTTAATCCCGTTAATCCCATATAATCCCATATCTCAAACCCGGCCATACCCGCTCATCAGGCGATGCGGTTTGATCCCACATCTTTCCAGTTCTTTCAAACTCGCGCCGTCATTAGGCGCTCATCCCTGTCATCGACACTAAACGCCACATAGTTTCGAGATTGAAAGTCCGACAGGTTGACGGTTCGAACGATTCAAAGGATGAGGAGTGGAGGACAATGAAATTGTAAACGCTTCATTCGCGTCGCGCGCGCGAGCGCGCCTCGGCCGACTGTGGTTCCTCGACTCTTTCTTCCCCTGCCCGTCTAGAAACAGGGAGCCAGAAGAAGAGCACGTGTCCCGAGATCTGAAACCGATCAAGGCGACTGCTGATCAGGGCCACAGAATTTCGGCAAGACAAGGCAAGACAAGGAGCTGCCAAAACGCAGCTGTACAGTTTCGGCAAGTGGAAAAGGCTAGGAATTACATTATTTCAATATGGAGGAGGGCGGCCGGATGTAAATGCCGGGCAGGGGGAAGGCAGGCCCTCACAGGGTTTAAATCACCTTCATCCGGGCCCCAAATAGGTGTTGCCTGTAAACAGTTTACATAATTTAACTCCCGCGAGGGGGAGGCTGGCCCTGGAAGGGTGGTCCCGAGGTTTAAATGAATCAAAGAATAGTTCCGGCCCCCCCCATCGAATTGAACCACTGAATCGCGAGGAGAGGGCGAATTCCCGCAAGAATGCGCAGCCTAAGCCGGGCATATTTAGCGGCTCGCGTTGTGGGTTTCTTTATACCATACGACGTAAGCAAGACAGGGACCCGCTGCTAAATATACGCTGTATGGTTTCGTGAAGTAATTAATGGCCAGGGCCTCCAATTAAATCCCAGCTAGGGGGAGGCGGGCCCAGGAGGGCTACCCAGGATTTCAAGTATTAAATGAGAGTTTTGTTGTAAATCATTTACATTTACATTATTTGATGCCGGCACCCCAAATACATAGTTGGAATCCCGGGTGGGGGGGAGGGGGGGGGGGCAGGCCCAGAAATTGAATTATTCAAACTCTGGAAAGGGGGGTGGGTTATTTAAATTAGGTAATCCTTTGCCCCCCACCGGCCTTCCGACCCCCGGAGCCCCTTTCCCCGGGATTTAAATGTTTCGTTAATTCCGCGCCCCGCATGGAATAATTTAAAAATCAAGCAACGTAAACCCTGGGCCCGCCCCGCCAGGCCACCCCCCGCTTTAGAATTGTAGAATTGGAACAAGTTATGGAATAAGTTAGTTAAATCATGGTCCGCACCCCCGGATTTGCGTAAACTATTGTCATCATTACTTCCCTTTTCCCACAGGCCCCGGGATTCACCCCTTCGCGGGTTCATTTCATTTAAACCATTTTGTTCGTTTAAACGACTTACTTCCGCGCTTCGACAAAACATCAAGTTTTCTGCTTCGGCTATACGCTTGTTATTCCCGGCAGGGCTGCTCAGGACGACAGCTGCCAGTAACAAAAGTTGTTCTAGCTGGTCTGCCTGTCCTTATCCTTATATCAGAGAGGGGTTCTTATCTCAAGTAGGACTGCTGAGGACGACAACTGCCGCTCAACTACCCCTAACCGGGTGCTTTTTCCGGAACAGTGTTGTTCTGCGTCGTTTGCACTCGTCTTTTTCAAGCAGGACTGCCCAGGACGACAACGGGGCCGACAATTGTTTCAGATATTTCAATCATTATATATGTTTCTGAACGGCAGGGTGCCATCAAAGATGCCCTAGACGTTCAAGGTGCCAGTGGGCCAACTAGGCCATCCACTCATGGTACTTCGCTGCGACCTCAGCAGCAGTACGCAGGAAGCGCAATTCGCGTGCGCACGCAGCGCGAAAGTCACGATGCCAAAGAGCCCTGGCGGAGCCAGACCAAGCCTCAGCAACAAGCTCACGTGCAGATTGATCAGCAACATCGTTGAGATGCCGAGCGCGATCCCCCGAAACGCCCTGCGGCGGACTCCACTCACCTACATGACGGCCATGAGCCGGGACCCATGAGCACACAATACAGACATCACGAGCACGTAAAGCAGTAAGAGCACCTTGCATCCTTCGAGCCTGGACCAAAAAGGGACCATTGTACTCGACTTCACACAGTCGCAATGCCGACTTGCAGTCACATAGCACTTTTACAGGGGGCAGCGTAACGCCGTCCGCAACTTCAGCGAGAGCCTGGAAGAGCACCAGGAGCCCGAAAGTCTCAGCTAGGAAAGAATCATGATCCTCTCCAGCGAGGATGCCGGCATGGGCACCAGCGCCCTCCACCGCGACCGCCCAACCTGCGACGTCCTCCTTGGCGGACCCATCAGTCGCGCACAGCAGCGACGCGGGGTGCAGCCCAACAGCTGCAACTAGCTCACGTACCACACGGCTGCGAGCAACCTCCAAGGCCTCAGCAATGGGTGCATGGGGCAACTCAGGAATGACGACGGCAAAGAGCCTCTCTTCCGCACGGTTGACTGGCGCGTCAACGCCAGTGGCCCGCCTGATCTCGGCCGTACCCGAGCACTGATAAACGAGATGAGGGCGAGATGGAAACTCAAGATCACAGAAGCACCGAACATGCCATTGATCGCGAGGTCGGCGATGTTTTGTGTTCTCGAACCATACCGAACACCCCGACCCGACACAGACGAGCCTCTGTTGGCGAGAGGCGCCCTTCTCAAAGTAAAGCTTGCGATGAGCATCAGCACACACGACCTGATGAGGCTTCGGCGGGGGCAACAACAGACCTTGTGCGAGAC